AGAAACTGCTCATCTTTAAGTGATGCTCCCCTCCACCAACACAGGATCCTGCTTTAATCATATTAATCTGCAGGTATGAAATGCATTCAGTTGAGTGTGAGCAGCAAGCAAACTAGTGAAAACTGGGATACACGAGGGCTGTGGAGGCCTGCATGTGCATGTGAATCGGCTCAGTGTCTCTGGTCAGTTGTCAGAGGAGTGGCTTTAGCTTGGAACCCGATCGTCCTGAACTTTGCCATTCTGATCTCTCTTTTTACTCAGCCGGTCAAATTCAGTGACGGCCAGCTGGTCCTCTCTTGCTCCTTCCAGCCCCCTCTGTTTCTTATCAGGCAGCATTACAGGCGCCTGTCTTTCTAATGGGGCCTTTGAAGAGCCCCCCGGCTGCTTTTAGGATTTGGGGCATGATGCAAGTCATTGATTTTTTTTTTTTTTTTTTTTGCCTTCTCTTTTGAGAGGCTGTTATTGCATCTTTAGCCGGTGTGTGTCTGCACAGAGACTATCAATAGTGTCCTGGTGCGATCAAAACATCTAGGTCGATAGGCGGGTTAATAAGCGGGTTTTTGAACCGTACCCTTCGCCTAGCGGTTCGACAGGTGAGCCGCTGCGATGGAAGCAGAATGGCTTCCTCCTCTCAAGGCTTCCCTCTCTCCACCCTCCTGTCCCGCCCTCCAATCCTCTATCCTCTTTTCTCTGGCACAAAGCTGCTCAGTTGTTCATGAATGTCAGCTCAGTGCTGCCAGTGCTCTCTATCTTTCCCTCCCTCTTCCTTCTCGCCCTCCCTCAGCCTCTCAGCCTCTCTCTTCCTCCCTCACTCCTTATCTCCCTCCCTTAGTTCGCTTAGTGTGCAAAGGAAGAACGACTGCAAATGAGTTCCTTGAACCACAGGGACCCCAATAAATAAAACTGTCAGCCAGAGATGTCGAAAGAAAAAAAAAGAGGGAAGGAGCCAGAGGCACACTCTCACTGAATATTTCATCACCCACCACCACTCTGACACCCTACCCCCATCGCCCGCATCCCCCATCCCCCCTTCACCATCCTTTCTCCCTTCCTCTCTCATGCCACCCACCCCCCTTTTTTCCTCAATCTTTTCCCCACCCCTCCTCCCCTGGCTGCCCCTTATCATATTCTTCCCCATCACTGCATAGCAACCAAAGCTCCTGCTAAACAAAATACCACCTCCTGGACCCCAGCTACTAAAACAAAATGGTTGATGGCGCCGGCTCTGGGGTCACTTGTTAAAGAGGAGCAATTAAGTGGAACAGCTCTGTATCAACACCTGTATGTCACTGAGTGGACTCTGTCATGGCACTGTCCATCAAATTTCTGTGGAATAAAGTCGCCCGCTGCATGTTGTTCCCGGCAGACACACACACACCTTGTTCTTCAGGCATGAGCTCCTCTTCTCTTTGCATACCACCGCTGCTGCATCAGAGAGAGAACAATGACTGGCTGGTTTCTCTCTGTCTGCCTAAACACAACAAAAGTGGGGCCCTCCACTCTCCCTGTCTTGTGCCTCTCATAACAAACCACCACAGACGGCCATAAGAAAGCTCGCTCCTCTCACGGGCTAATTTGTAGCCTGCCATGTGGTGTTGGGAGCTCAGTAGGAGTACATGAATTTCATCTCGGTGGTTTTGAATAATCCACACTAGTCATTATAAGGGTAATCAAGCCTCCTCTCTGTTTCTCCTGCTGTCACTCACTGTCGGCCTTTTTCTCTCACTTTCTCTCTCACGTGCTCACACACACACATACACACACAGAAACTGTGTGGTGAAGCAAGGTCCCTGCTCAAACTTGACATTAAAGGGTAATCAACCCGGGCCCAAATTTTGTATGTTTTTGTGTCTAAGTCTCAATGGTTTTGGGGGAATTTGTCCAAATCTGAACAAGAGTGCAGCAGCCAGCAGCTGCGATACTGGCTGTAATGTAAATGCGTCCATTAAAAGCATTTGTTTTTGCCACTGATAGGCTCATATTATTTTAAGTGTGTGAAAACATGGAAAGGATCCTTACAGAGATAGACCTTTATGTTAAAGAGTAAAATTCTTTGTGTTTAAACAGAAACCGCCACAAAATCGCTATTGCCAAACCCACCAGACTCCATTTAAATAACCAGCAATTTTAGCGTGTATTGAACCAGCATGTTGTTACGTCTAACTTTGTGAATTTAGGGTTTATTTCAACCATACCAGAGCTGGTGATTGTTGGAACAATGGAAAGATGAATCACAGCAGTTTTTGTGAGGTTTATTTTGTTTCTGTCGACTCTGAATGAAGTGTGTTTTACAATGATAAAATGACTGTTTATTTAAATGGAGTCTGGTGGCTGTGGAAATAGCGATTTTATGGCTGTTTATGGTTAAACAAAAAGAACATTACTCTCTGACAAAATGGTCTATCTCTGTAGGTATCCTTTCCATAATGTTTTCAGACAAACAAGCACTTTTATTCGACTTAAATTTACAGTGCCCATATGCCCCAAGTGGTTACATTGCAGCCTGTTTGGCAGCTGCCGCCTGCAGCCCTCTGGCCCAATACTGGACCAATTTCAGAATTCGCTGTTCCCATTAGTCACTTACACACAAAAAGATTGGAAAATAGGGTCCAGGTTGAAAAATGCCCAAGATACCCTTTAAATTGCATCTTGGATGATTCCTCGGGATTCAGCATTTACTACAGTGTGAACACAAATGTGTCCCTGACCATATTTAGCTAAGCAGTTTTCTGACACATGGTTGATCTGCCTCTTCCAAATAACTCCGACAATGTGTAGAAGTACCCAAATAGCCACTGCAGTCTTCTTTTCTCACTGTGTGACTGAGCACAAACACTTCTGTTGAGCAGCAGTTGCAGTTTCTTCACAGATAAAAATCAAATGTGAGCAGGGAAGTGAAATCCGATCACAGGCAGTCACTCGGGGCAGATTCTGATGCCGGGTGTGAACTGTAACCTGTCTCTACTGGACGCTGGCGCAGTCTGGATATACAGCATGTGGATACAAGATGGGAGAGCAGCACTCCCCCCTCCCCCCCAGTCTTCCTCCCTCCCTTTAACTAAACACTGGGTTGATGGTCCCCCTCGGGGCCTCTGACTTTGTATGCATGTTCGTTTGTGTGTGTGTGTTGTGGGTTGGCAAACTGTCGACTCAGTCTCTTGACAGCTGTCAGTCACACACAGTCAGCGTCTCCTCCTCTGCTTGCTTTTCTCTTTGTTTCTCCCCCCACCCACTCTCGGGATCCCGCCTCCCCCCTGAGGTCTCAAACAGACACACACACACACACATCTAGCAGGTGACCTTTGTATATGGAGTTTCCTAGAGCCATCTCAGGTAGCACCCTGCCCTGTTCTCCTCCTCACTTCACACCCCGCCCTGCTGACTTTATTGTCTTACCACGACAGGGTAATCATGGGTGCGGACTTGACTATCAACAAGCCATTAGCGGCTGGGTTTACCCTCCTAAAAGGCTGAGTTTCTGTTTATCTTGCAGCAGCCTTTATGCTGATTTTTTTGCTGCAATAGCTGTTGATTATTTACATGTTGAAATGCAGCCATCAGATCATCCCAACCCCTTTCGTCCTTTCACCTGCCTCTCCTCTCCCTCCATCCTCTTTTCCACGCCATGTCAATACCAATGTGCAAAGGTCACCCTGGCAACAGAGAGGCAGCGGTCGATAAAGAAATAAATAAGCAGAAGAAAAGGGAGAGAAGTGATGGAGGGCAGAGCCTGGCGATTCACAGGGTTAACTACAGGCCAGCATCTCACAAGCACACTCCAAAGGCTGCAGGGTCTGGGGGGAGTGAGGCCTCCGCTCTCTTTTGCTGTCTTTGTATGTATGTCTCTATTACTTGTTTTGCTCTGCTTTGTCATTATTCTTTCTCTCCATCTCCCAGCCTCTTTGTGCTCTCTCCTCCCCTTGTGAAGCTTTTTCGGTACTGCTTCTGTCTTCCTGTTTCCCCCTCCCTCCGTGCCTCTGGGGACTGAAAGCACACAGGCAGTAGGGGTTGTTGAAACCTTTTTGGACAGAGACGTCACTTTGTGTTTGCCGGCGCTGCTTGTTTCTGTTTGCTTCTATTTGGGGAGAACCTGAGATGTCATTGCTGCTGAGTCTTCAAGACCCAAAGAAGCTTTCTGACCCCCGAATGACTCTCACTAGAAAATAAACACGCTCTCACGCACCTCCACACTTGCACAGAGTGGAGCAGAGAGTGGCAATACACAGCAACGGAGCCGCAGGCATGCAGGAGGGGCGGGGGGGAGGGGACAAGAGAACTTTTGTTGTTTAGTGTGAATCCTCCAGCCAAGTCGTGACAACTCCGTGTTTGTGTGCGTCCATCCGGGCCACGGGTGGGACAGTGAAGGCCTCCACACTTGGCTCCTATTAGTCGTTGCCAGAGCTCCAAAAATGGGCAGCCCTTCCAGATCCGCCGCGGACAATCGGCCATTCTGTGTTTGAGAGGCAGGCGGGGTGTATTTCCTGGACGTGGGACTGATTTTTCAGGCCCGGGGCCAGACAGAAGGGTGGCCTCTGTCTCTGAGCTGAATGACACTGCTGACTAAGAACGGACTGAGGGGCAGTGGGAGGCAGGCGAGAGTGGGCTCTATTTGTGTGTGTTTTCCAATAGGTCTCCTCATCCACCGCTCCCCAGCAGATGTAAATAGGCCAGTGTTACAGAATAGTGATTGATTGCATGATGGGCTAATGTGGTGTGTCTGTGTCTCTATGAGAGGGGGAGCTCAAAGCTCTGTTGTGTGCATTTTAACTGCCATCCATGGTGCAGACTGTTCATTTACAAAGGAGGAAGTCAATATGCGTGGGGGAGTTTTTCTCTTTTTGAAAGGCTTTGGCTTTCAGCACATAATCTGGGTGCAGACTTAGTTTGCAAATACCGCTGCACCAATAAATCACACTTATTGTGTTAGATTTTGGCAAAGCTGCGCTGGTGATCTTTCAGTAGAAGTATATGAACTCAAATCCTCTTTTGTCCTCCTGCAGGTCAGTGACTTCCTGTCCGGCCGCTCTCCTCTCACCCTGGCACTGCGCGTCGGTGACCACATGATGTTCGTCCAGCTCCAGTTGGCGGCGCAGCAGTCCGGCGGCCCCCAGCTCCAGCACAGACACCTCATCACCCGGGGCAACGCAGACACTGCAATGGGACAGCCCACGGGGCAGCCCCGTGTTCCCCACCCTCACCCACACTCCCACCACCACCCCCATCATCCACACAGTCACCCCAGCTCCCACTTGTCCCAACCTCACCTGGCCCCTTCCTCCCCCTCTTCCCCGGGCTCCCCGTCCTTCCCCCTGCCCTCCACACACCACCAGCCGCTCCCTCCCATGTACCACCAGTCGCCCTCCTCCTCCTCTCACTGTAGCCCCCCTACTCCCCCTCCTCCGCCCCACTCCCCTCGCCCCTCCCACGTCCCTGGAGGTCTTTTCCGCTCTCCAGCACATCATCATCATCACCATCACCACTACCACCAGCCTTCCTCAAGCCAACCCAGCCACGACATTGGCCAGGCCAGCCCCGTAGCCCCGGTCATCTGCCCTGAAGTAAGTACACTGCATATCGTTTATGTATTTAGTACTGCTGCAACATCTTCGTCATCAGCCCTGGTTTAGTGAGGAGACAAACATGCAAAATATCTGAAATATTATCATTATAATATAAGGTGCGACTGATGAAGTGGTAAAATAGCTTCACTTTTACGTAACTGATGTCATCAGAGGCACTTAGCCCTCTCATGAATGAACAACGGAGGGGATAGGTTATGGCTGTTTGACCTGAGTGGCATGCACACAACTAAATCACCCTCCATTAAATTGATTAGATTAGCGGGATATCCCAGCAGCATGAGGGCAAACCCGTGGTTTACTCAGGTCTGCAGAAGGTTCGCATGTGATATGTGTGCTTCCAAACCACAGTGCACTTAGTCATCACCAGAGTGCAGTCTGCTTCCCAATACATGCAAACAGGCCAACACACACACGAGCCAGGCATCCCGATGACCTCATCCTGCCCATTGAGACGTACGGGGAAAAGGGGGGGAAGATAAACAGCTTGAGAGGATGAGATTAAAAAAAAGAGAGGCAGATTTAATGAATCGGAGTTGGTTTTTCATGTCAGGACTGATCATTAACCTCAGTGTTGTCAGCCATTTATCATTAACCTTTACAACCGTTTATTTTTATTGGGATAACTCTAAGAACAGCTGCACACACACACACACACAAGCACAAACGCGCTTGTCTTCACCAATCAAAGTTGCTGTTTATGCTTTCTCTACCTCCCCGAGCTCCAGCCTATGGAAAGCGAATAAGAACCAGATGTCAGTGGACTATGTGGGAGAGATGGCGCACAACAAGAAAAACAGAGAGGCGGGCCAGTTTAGCAGTGAGAAAACGGAAACGGCTATTCCTCATTAGGCTTTCACATGTGTAACACACACAAAAACAAGACAAGCGCGCAAACACAGAGACCTTTGCCTGGGTTTCAGTTTCATTTTCAAATGTCAGTCGAGCGATCCAAGTCGAGCTGAGGTGAAGTAAAAGGATTGCAAAGTTTGTTCTTTCTGAGTATTGAGGTAACAAGATGTGCTGGCTGTTTTGGGGCTGTAGCGTGGCAGAAAGCTCGAGTTTCCTGCTTTCTTGAGTTTCTCGTCACCTTCACTGCAAAGGTTACTTACATAGTGCAAATAGTATTTACAACACCCTGAAGTAAAGGCCAAAGAACTTAGTGAGGTATTCTCAAGACAGAACTTACGTCATATGGTATATTTAAGGTGTACGCGCCAGAACACGATTTCAACATTTCACAGCTCACAAGTTATGCATGAATTTCATTTGATGTGTATGTTAGCACAGTATGTGATGTGATTCTGCACAGATGTGTTCTTTCACACCGTTTCTCCGTGCCCTGAAGTCTCACTTTATGCTATTTAATATTTCTCCTCCAGGCTAACTGCAGCACCAACAGCCCCAGCAGTGGCAGCAGTCCCTCAACACGCTCCCGTAAACCCGGTGCCATCATTGAGAGCTTTGTGAACCACGCTCCCGGAGTCTTCTCAGGGACCTTTTCAGGTGAGAGGACACGGAGCCGCCTTAAAGATTTATTGCTCCTTGAAGCAATAACTCTGCACACAGTGAGATCCAGCTGAAAGCCTCTTTTATGAGAGTATGCGTCACAAAAAATACCCAGAACATTAACACATTCTCCTCTGTCAGGTCTTAGCGTCTGTTGCAGGCATGTGTATGTAATAGGGATGTCAACGGTTAACGTTATCCGTTAATTGGTTAACCACCAAGTCTTCCTGGTCGCCCCGGTTAGTAAGTGGCTCAATTTTAAGTGGAAAACCCCCTCTACATTGTCAAGTATGTTGCCACAGTTAGCTGTGTTAGTGCCGTTAGGCGTGTTAGCTCATGGTGCTATTATAGTTTACAATGCTAAAGGGGCTTTGCAGCTCAAAATGAAGCCACTTGCTCATCAGGGAAACTGGAGTGTGACCACAATGTTTCCACAGCAACGTTAGCTATTGGGACAGCATTATTAGCAATAAGGTAATCGCCAAATGAGCAGCGATGCTAACTAGCTCTTACCCAACCTGCGTCGGACTAAAAGGAAAGGCCTCTTGTATTTCACGTTCTTCTGCATTTTTTTTCAGGCTATCAAAACCAAAATTGAAATGAAACTGAAATCCCTAGTATGTAGGAATGACCTTTTCTATCTTCTCTGCTTCCTCTCTCAGGCACTTTGCACCCTAACTGCCAGGACAGCAGCGGGCGTCCCAGACGAGACATCGGTACCATTTTGCAGATCCTCAACGACCTCCTGAGCGCCACGCGCCACTACCAGGGCATGCCCCCCTCCCTCACCCAGCTCCGCTACCAAACCCAGTGCGGTTCACCCACTTCCCCATCCCCCTCGCCGCCTCCTTCGCCCCAGGTTGCCGGCATGACGGGCCTCTCTGCCAAAGCTACCTCTGTGCCCGCCAGCAGCCCCAGCAGCCCTCCGCCGACTCTTCATCCGCTGGTGCAGTGCCAGAGTCAGATCCGCATGTGCAAACCCCCTGGTGAGTGACTCCACGCCCTGCACGCCTTCTGCTCATGCAAGCATGTCAGGAGCACAAACAGAAACACACTCACACACACACACACACACAAAGTTGTTGTGCATCCCTTGAGGCAGATGTTGCAGTTGCTACAACTTTTCAGTGAGCGTGTGTGTCTGTGTGTGTGTGTGTTTGTGAAATGACTGCAGTCTAGAACCTGTCATTTTACTGAGATCTGCTCTTGCATTGTAATCTACTAAAGAATTCATTGTCATCTTTGTCTGTTCTGTTGCCGTTCTCATTACACATCATGGTTAGCTATCAGTTCTGCTGGGGTGATTTTGCATCATTGCCTTGTTCAAGTGCTTATTTTCATCTTTAAAATACTGACAAAGCAAGAACAGAAAAGTCAGATTAAAGAACAAAAGCAGTCACACATATATCTCTCTTGGGTTTCGAGGCAGAGGAGAAGAGGAAGAGACGGGAGGAAGGGGGTGGGGGGAAGTCTCCTTGGTAATGCAATACAAGCTTCTCCAGGCCTGTTCAGTCAGGCTTCACTTGTCAGGCAGCGGAGTTGGCTTTGTTTTTGTGCGCCAAGGAGATAGGTTTACCCCTTCAAGCCTGGGCTGGGCTATGTTTAGATTAGATTAGGCTTTGGGTGATTTAACCTGCCTCTTAAAGAAGGGCTGCAGCTGGGGCATGTGTGGGCTGCGGCCGGACAAACCTCGACATACCCATGCCCAAGGGCTGGGCTGGGGCAGGTGCTGGAGCTCAGATGATACCGTTTAAAGGGACTTGAGTGTTTTAAAAAACCTCCTTTTCTTGCAGAGACACAGGATGTTGAGTGTCAGACAGATGTCCAGGACTGATAACATTCAGTCAATGTTGTAAGGTTAGACTGGCTGTGCTGAGAGAAACAGCATTGTCCTCCGCTGCCTCCTTATCTCCCGTTGAGGAAATCGAGCCAGCCTCTGGTGAGCTGCTGGTAAATTTTGTTGAATAGTCTGGCAGGGAGGGTCCTGGGGTGTAGGGCTTTATGTTTAATGTTTTCTTTTGTTAAATAAAAAGCAAGAGCGTACATTTCTATTGTCATTCTCTGGCTTTGTCCTGTTTCATGACCTTCAGTTGCAACAGAATAGAGTGTTGTAGTTTCGCAACTGAATACAGATTGACCAGGAATGTCCAGTATTCCTTTGCGTCACCCTGGGTGCCCTTACAAGTGTTCAGTGAACAGTTGGAATAACACAGCCTTATTTTCCTAACTCAGGGAAGACCTTTCCTTCACTTCCCCCACCTACATATTCCCCCCCGCCCTTCTCCTCCTCTCCCACTCTTGTCATCTCTCCTCGTCTACAGCCTACGCCGCTGTTTCCCCCATTTGCTGTCCAAAAACAGCCTCGTCTGTAAAATCCATCTCTCCATGTCTTCCTCCCTCTCTTTCCACGTCTGTGTTGTGCATCAATACATTGTCTGTGTTCATTTGGCCTTTAAATAGAAAGATTTATTCCGAAATGCAGCTCTGAAAAGAATTTGCTTTGTGAAGTAGAGAGCAGTGAGAGGAGGAGGAGGAGGACGCGGAAGAGGGGGGTTGTTAAAACCACAACACTAAGCCTCCATTCATCATATGGGTGTTTATATCCTGTCCATCAGTCTACCAACTGCCCACTGATTAACCAAGGGCAAAGCAAAAAAAGAATGGGTGAAAGAATAGTCTGTCTGGTGTCCTTTTCGGACTTTGCTGCCTCTGTCCAACTTCCTGCTCCCAGTGTACACTTCCAGAAAGCGACGTGAACGGGCAGCCCGTCCAGCCAAGCGCAGTCTAGCTTGCTGAGACAATGAATGTGCCGGCGTGTTTGTGTGGACGGAGGCTGCGTGCCTACTTTGTATCCCGTTCCACATGGTGTCCTAAGGAAGCCGATGACTAAGCGCTCTCAGGCAGTCTTATCAGCCGACACCTGATGGAAGACTTACTGGACTTAACACTGCGGCTTAACTCTGCTTCACAGAAACCTGCCTTCATTCAGCTACAGGAATAACCCGCGCTTCACCCAACTGCCTGAACGTGTGTGTGCGCATAGTCAAACTCGGGTTGAAACGGCCTCTTGAAAATGTCACATAGCTAGGCTGTCTCCTGAGAGCCTTTACCCTTTCCGCTGCAAGTTCATGTGCGAGGCGGAGAAGACAAGCGTAAATAAAAAGCTCCAACATACTCACATGCACACACACACACTCAACCACAAATGCCTGGTTAAAGTCTTTGGCGACTGGCTTGGTTTCATGGCTTTGCTGTATAGTATTGCTGAGTGTGGGGATTTGTCAGCCCTGGACTCATGTTGGATTTGAACAGGAGGGCTTTAGCATGGCCTGGCAGGCTGATTGTTAGCTAAATTCCTTTACTGAGTAGGGTGGACCTCCCCGGCACCCCCTCCCGCCTCCAGCCCTTCAGCCCCCTGCCCGGCCAAACTCATTGTGCAGGGGCCGGGGACAGGGGCTGCATACAGGGCACCAGGCTGAGCCATTGTGGGGCAGAGGAAGGGAGGGCTGTGGGATTATAGGGCTGCCTTTTAGTCCCACTCCCACCGCAGCTGCCTTAGTTCAACACAGGCACACAGAGAGGGGCAAAGCAGGGGCAAAGTTAGTGCTGAAAGCTTCTCCAGCACCCCCTTCCTCTCTTCCACATCCCTTCACCCCCGTCCCCTTTCGATTTGTCAGGTCATGTTAGCTTCGTGCTGGCTGGGACCGGGAAAGCCAAAGGAGGCAGGGAGGGAGCGAGGGAGGGAGAAGAGAGACACACAGAGAAAGATCCTACGCCCTTAACCTCATTGAGTCCTGTATTTAAGCCCTGACCTGCTTGGCTGAGGCACCGCACATTATCCACCGGTAGGCTTTTGCTCCTCTCTCGTCACACTCACGGGGGTTTTGGCGTGACACACGTGCGCCGGTAACTTCGGCGAACGCCCCGGCGATGCAGCGCAGCACAGAGCTATCTAGCAAAGCCAGCCAAGCACATCAGGTGCCCTTTCATTGTCGACAAGGAGAGCAGGAGGGAGAGAGAGAGAATGCAAATGAAGTCTAAAAGTCATTGAAGAGCTTGTGTCCCCGCAGGGCTGTCAATGCCCTTTCACTGGCTGTCAAAATGCTCATATTAGCTCGCATTTGATTGGTTGCTTCAGTTTGTGTCTGATTAGTTGGTTTAGTTTTTTTTTTTTCTGCCGTTGAACTTGAGTGCTCTGCTTTTTCTGGACAAGTCGGGCTGACCTGATTTGTAGCCGGACTGTGCTACAGAGGGGTTTCTCACAGAGCTGTTTACCTTGACATTGAGCTACTGGACCCTAAACTTCAAATTAAAGGAACAGTTCACCTCTGAATCAAAAGTACATAGCTCAGCTGAGCTTTGTGGCTAGCTTTCAGGCTTTGGGGCGCTTCATGGCTCTTGCACCTCTTGTCTTAGCTCTTGGTACTACCAGCGAAATTAAACTAAAGAGTTTGGTAGCCTACTTAAGTAAACTGTCCCTTTAACCTCTGGACTCAATGTCATGGCCACAACATTGACATTTCATTACATGAATATGAATGCTACTGCAGCTATTGTCACATACCAATATCTAAAATACTGTGATAATTATCGTAGTATTAATTTTGCCCATATCTTGAACCCATAGAGTGGGGGCAGAGTGATACTAGAGGAAACTGAGGCTGACTTTGCTGCAATGTGATATTCTTTCCTCTTCTTCCTCTCTCCCCTTCACTTTCTCTTCCTCTCTGTCCACCCCTCCCTCTTTCCCCTGGTTCCCTGGATGCTGAGCAAACACAATGTTCTCTCTGCAAGATCACAAGACTTATCAAGGCAAACAAACAAACAACAGCACTAAGACAACTGCAAATGAAGGCCAATCTTTATACAATCAATAAAAGGAGAAGCTCCTTTAATCTCCCCGTGCGTCCTGCACACTGCAGCCCTCCTCCCTTTTTCTCTACCTCCATCCTTGTGCCTCTCCTCCCCTCCCTCCCTACCTCCCACCCACCCACTCCTCCTCCCACCCTCCCGTGTGCTCCCTATCTCAGTCCTTGCTGTGTTGCTGGGCTGGGCTCAAAGGCAAGGAAAACTGACTGACGCATCGATTATTCATAGATCACCCCTTCTTTCTCTCTCTCTGTCTGTTTTTCTCCGGCTTTCTCTGCAGCGCTCGGTGTATTTACAGGGCCTGTGTCAAAGTCTTCAGAGAGGAGAGTTTTGGGGATGGAAAAATGTGCTGCTCGGGATTGAGTTTTGGTTGTGATTGGCAGGAAGGGGGAAAGAGAGACAGGAGGAAAAGGAGACTGGCGTTTCCTTCCTCTCTGTGCCCTTGACCTGTCTTCTGTTTGATATCTTCCACCGCGCGTTTCCGGAAAAAAGATCAGTTGTCTTTCTTTGTGTCGTGCTGGGTTGTATATGAACTTGGCTTCCCTCTCATTCATCGCCTCTGTCTCTTATCCACTTCTCTCTGGGTCCTCCAAGGTTATTGTGCTCACGTCAAACCCTAGTCTCTGCATCCAGGCTTTGTGTCAGCCTGTGTATATCAGTGTGTGTGTGTATAGTCTGTCCTTCTTAGCCAGCCCTAATAATAGCCCTACTGTCATAAACATAGTCTGGAGATCCTTGCGGCCAGCTGTGTCCGGCCCAGCCGCCCAGGGCTCCGGTAGTGACGCTGATGAATGGCCACACACACATGCACGCACACAGCAAGTTCGGTGTAGCTCCACATTCTCGGAGAGCTTGCCAAGCTAAAGGCCAAGACCTAAAGCACCACCAAACTGCGCTTAATGCTGAGTGTGTGTAGCTATTCTTATATATTTGAGTTATCCGAGTAAATGAAAAGAAGCAGGAGAAGAAGAGAGGAGAGAAGAAGAGAATTTAAACGGAGACACTCTGAAGGCAAACTGTACCAGACAAACAGATTTTGTATGTAGGCATGTGTTGGCTTCGTGCCGTTTCATTGTGTACAGCCATATTTCGACACAGCCGAGGGGCGGTTTCGCTTGTAGCTAGTGAGAGCAGGGGAATAAGGGGAAGAGGGAGGACCGGAGGGGGAACAAAGCCTTGCGGCAGCGTATGTGGATGTCACATGGAGCTGAGGCAGCGGAACAATGACTCTAATGTAGGAGAAACCCCCTCTTTTTGGTATACCCCCTGTTCTCCAGAGATGGCACGCTGCCCTCACACACAGCAGCGTGTACGACATCTGGATGCACACACATGTATCAGGACAGAACACATTGGCAGGAAGTGGAAAAACCCCAGTCTGTGCATGTGGCTGAGGGTGATGTGAAGAAGTATTCTTTTCGGTTAACTCGGTGTCACTGTTAACATCCTCTCTGCTCTCAGAAAGCAGCATGGAGACTGCTTGATGGCTGTTTAGTCCTTTAGTATGCACTGCCAGACAGTGGTGAATATTTATAGCTGGAGAAAAGGCTCTGCGCTGCTCGATCCGATAAGCAAATGAGGGAAAGAGGTAAATTAAGCCCACACAGAGTCCGGAATTCATTCCGATGGGGGGGAAGAGCAGAAGAGGGCACAATCGATTCAGAAAACTGCCACCTACGGCTGATCCTTTACCCTCCACCCTCTTCCTTCGTCCTTTTTTTTTCTATCCCCCTCGCCCCTGGGGGAGGAATTCCTTAACCCACACCGCCCGCCCGTCTTCCCCCCTCCTCCTCCTCCTCTCGCCTCCTGCTTCCCCTTCTTCACACTGCCCCACCTAGCTGTCTCAGGGGAGACATGGGGCAAGAGCTGGGGGAGGGAGGAGTGTGTGTGAGGGGTGAAAGGGGTGGAAGTGAGACAGAGAGAGAAGGGGGTGTGGGGTGTTGGGTCAATGAGCTGAGAGTGGGAAGCTACAGCCATAATAAAGAAAAAAAATAGCAGAAAAAAACCCCAATCTCTCCCCCGTCTCCCTCTCTCTCTCTCTCTCCGCTTACAATTTCCATTCGCTTGCATTTTCTATTGAAAGCCAATAGCGTTGTCCTGGGCCCGAGATGGATGGCTGCACTAGAGCTAAGGTTTAATCAATAGGTCTTTTTAATTTGCCATCGATCCACGTTAAAAGCTACTGCGGCTGTTGCTGCTGCTGCTGTGTGTGTGTGCGTGCCTGCACCGGCAAGCCGTGTGTTTGTGCATATACGTGCATGAGTCAAGTTGTGTGTGTGTGTGTTTTTGTGTGAATACATGATGTACTCGAATGCGGATTTGAGTCTCTCTGTGTGTGTTTGTGTGTGTTGGGGTGTGCAGCAGAGGCAGAGATGGCCGCTGTGCTTCGGTTTATTGACATTCTAGCCCATTATTTAATTATTTAATTCCCAGACAGATACTAATGGAGCTGGCTAATAGATTGTGGTTGCCTTCCTTTCCTTCCAAGCCCCCCGAATATACGTATAAATGGAATTAGGCTCGACTCGGCCACTGTAGGAAAGCATTCACAGTGCGATGCGAGGCCGCTCCCTCGAGACCGGATCCTCCTATAGGCACATCAACAGCTAGAAATGCACTTAGCAGCACATTCAGCCACTGAGGCATGTCATCTGCAATTATGTGCGCGGATATCATAGGCAGCTATCCCAATGTGTCGTCTCTGGCTTGTGTTTGTGTGTTTTTGGCCTTGCTATTGGTTCTCAAGGAGATTCAGGTCTAAGAAGGTCTCCCCACTCAGCGATAAGGGGATGAAATGGCACTGAGGGGGCTAATGATGCTCAGTGGGGGAGGTTAAGCAGCAAATTCCACATTGTGCACATGGTGTGTGTGTGTGTGTCAGAGCCAAGGGAATGTCAAGGCTGTGGTGCTTTATCTGCTGCCTGCTAAGCACAAACACACACTAAAGCACACATATTCCGAGCTCATTTTGTAGTTAGTGTTAATTCTGGTCTGTGTAAACAAGCTGGTCAACATGCAATGAGAAACACTCGACTGACCATCTCTCCCGTCTCTTTCCCTTTGTCCAGGTGACCGAATTCGTCAGACCGAGAACCGTGCAACTCGCTGCAAGGTGGAGCGCCTGCAGCTGTTGATGCAGCAGAAGCGCCTGCGCAGGAAGGCCAGGCGGGATCAGCGCGCCCCGTACCAGTGGCTGCCCAACCGGAAGGCGGGACGCAGCAACAGCAACAGCAGCATGTCCAGCGAGGGCTCCCTGGACCTGGACTTTGACGACTCAGTGTGGAAGCCCGACGTCAAGGCTGACTTGAAGTCCGAATTCGTCATGGCCTGAACACGTCTGATCCCGCACACCAGGGGCATAGATTCAAAGATGTGCGAAGCATTGCTTGGGATTTACTTAGAGATATATTTTGAGGGAGTGGATTGGCAGGAGGTGACACAGAACTGTGCAAAGAGGAAATCAAAAGGTTGTCCTCGTGACTGCCGTCTGTCACACGACACACACGGCTCCCCTGCAGACTTTAATCCCATTTTGTCCTTCACAGTTGTGAAAAAACAGCAAGAGAACTTTGTTTTGATGCTTGGATTAGGACAGGCAACAACCGGACATAACAGTGTACAAGACTTTTTAACGGTGTGATTACAGAGACCATACCTGAACTTGAGCATAGCAGAATTCAGTGGGTGGTGGTGGCGGTGGTGGTGGTGGTATTTTCAGATTTTTTTTTTCTAAGATTTGTTTTTTAACGCGCACTCTGGACAGCAATGAAGAGATCCACACTGGACTTTTAAACAGGACAGGAGCACCAGAGGCCTCAGTGTTTCCTATTCACAAGATGGCAGAACTGCCAAACTATGGATTATTCCAACGGGCATTCTTATCGATCTCAAAACTCACCAACCAGAGTCTAGTTTTTACCTGTTACGGGGTGGTTAAACTCTTTTTTTTTCCATTTTGAAACATATTATTATATTTTATAAACAAAAAAATATGTAGCATTGTTCACAAAGCATTCAGGTTTTCATATAACAGTTCAAAGTAGTTGTTGATTTGCACATTTTCTTGATTTATAACAGCTGGTCAATGTGTGCAAGAAGGAGGAGGTGGGGCCTGAAACAAAAAAAAAAAATGAATATGGAAGTATTGATATCAACCTCAGTGACATAGGGTATCGATAGGAATGATTAATGAGTAAACAAAAATGAATTAATATTAACAGAAAGTGCTTTAGAGGATTTTAAAATCTTTAAAATGTATATGGAAAAAAAAAATCTATTTTTTATTTCTCTTCCTATCTGCTGTTTTCAAAAAACAGCAGCCCTCTGTGGCTTCAGTCAAGTCGTTGACTACCGACAAGTACATCCATTCAATCATTCATTAGCTCATTCATGAATTATAGCCACAACAGATAATACGGAAAGATAAAATTTCATCCAGCCCACCTCATGTCTTACAGACCTGAAAGGACTTGTTGAGGGTTTGTATTAGTTTGTGTACATAAATGTGACAATTGGCAAAGGTTTATGAGGGTGTGTGTGTATGTTTGACTTAAGTGTAAATTGATTTAGACTCCCCCATGTTTTTGTCTTCTCCCGAACGACCCCATAGTTTCTCCAAGATCCTGAAGATCAGCTGCAGTGAATGCATGGGTCACTACTTTATATCACCACAGGATAAAAAAACATCAAATTCTGAGTTCCTTTACAAGTCCTCATAATAATGACTCTATTTTTTTATTGGCAAAAAGAGGGAGAAGAAGTGGGATCTGTATCCAGCATCATTATCTAGTGCCTCCACCAGTACATCCGTTGACATATCAGGTTAGGCCTTTCACAGTTTTGCTGCTACACACGGGGACTTCAAATGACAAAAAAAAAAAGAAAAAAAAAAACAGAAAGCGAGAGGGGAAACTTTTCCTTGCATGCAGAAGTGTGAATTACACTGATCTTTTTTCTATTGATGGAAGAAAAAAAAAGAAACTGGTGCTGTGGGAATGAAGGTTAACAACATGCATGAAATTGTGAAGAAAATAAACAATGCTGCTTTTGTTGGTTAGGTTTTTTTGTAACTCTTTATTTTCCAATGTTAGAGCAACAGTGTCCTGCTAAAGTATTACGACGCAAAACCAAAACAGATGAAGTTAAAGTGTGGACTTCGCGTCTTGCTCAGCACTGAACATTCCTGTTGTGTGACAATGAAGATGATGATGATGAGCAAAAGAGCAACTGACTCTCTCTCGACTCCCCCGAGCGCTGGTTTTACCCCCCGTGACTCTCAAGGACCCAGACAGCCCCCTACGAACTGTTCAGCCACCTCCCCTCCTCCCAGCCCGAACACCAACCGAGGCTCGCATGGACGTACTCTGGCAGGGAACTAACAGACCAGCGGATTTACAGTACTGTCCGTCGAACTCGAGAGAAGCACCTGGTCTGTCTCTTTATCTGTCTGTCTGTCTGATCGATCGACCACCCTACCACAATTGCACTCCCAGAGATTGCAGTGAGAGATTACCTTTTTGGTGAACCTCATCTTTTTTTTAAGTGGCCTTACCTTTCACTAAAAAAATGAGACACTTGGGGACAATGGGGGCGGGAATTTTTTTTTTTTCTTTTGGGTTTTCAAACTTTCTGTGCATCGTTGTCGGACTTGTTGTCATCAAGGCGCCATTTTTTGTCACTGAGGACACTGGGCATCTGTCGTTTAGTGCTTTTAGCTGGTGGAGTCTCTATTATGTCAAGGCTTCTGTGCCTTAAAAATGTTGCCCTTGCTGTGTCAGTGTCAGATTTAAGCTTGTTTTCATTGGTTGATAACACAGGACTGTAGTATTCACAGCCATGAGCGTCGTAGATTTTAGGGGTGGAGCTTGTTTGAGTGAATCAATTCAAAAAAAGTTGGTGTTGTTCCTCAAATACTGTCTTTGTCCCATTTCTTCATTGTGTTGCCATGCTTGTTGGTCTCCGTTGTCCGAAAACCTCACATCCCTCTTAACTCAGTCCTCCCACCAACAAGCTGCAAAAAGCTGCAAATCTGTGTAACTTATGTTAAACTGAGGAAGTTTACACCACAGTACTTAGGTGGCAAGAAACAGCCCTGATTCAGAATAAGAAAAAAGGTCCTCTGAGGACTCCAGACTACATGCACTTCCTGTTTCCTTGGATACAACATTATTAAAGGACAATTTATCCCCTGCCCCTCCCAAATTTTATTTAATTTTGTTTTGTATATGTATGAACTATACTCTGTGTGTGCCTCACTTCTGTGTGAAACTCAAAAAGATGAAACAAAAACAAAAAAGATGACAAAAGCATTACAGAGAGGATAAAAAACAGTATGTTGGTGGAATTCTGATCACGTCATTTAAGTTGCCTGTTCTTTCTTGTAGCCAACTATTGAAAATAACAGGATTCAAGAATACAATTTACAATGTTCTAGCTCTAGACCGGTGTAGCACATGTGTGACTGTATTAATTTATGAAACCAAAATGGTAACTGTGAATTATGTATTTCTTTGTGCATTTTTTTTTTTTTTTAAAGTGGGGGAGAAGGTTGTCGGGACACGGCAGCAGCTGATGCTCGTGTCTGAAAAAAACTTTTTTGTTTTTTTTGTTTTTTTTTTTTGTTTTTTTTTTGGTGGAATATAATGGAAACTAAACAATGTTTCCGAAAAAAGAAAAAAAATGAAAAAAAATGCCAAAAAAAAGAGAAAAAAATGAAAAAATATATGAATATATTTTTTTTCTTAAGCAATACATTTCAGTGTGACTTGTGATAGAACATTTTCTTTTTTTAGGTAATAAATAAATAAAAAACAAAATGAGTACGTCAGGTTGTGTCCGTGAGTATTCATTACTGACCCATTCGATAACATTGAGTGATAGCTGCTATTTGGTCTAATATTTCATGTGAGAATCTATTTCATGAGGTAACGTGATATAAGTGGGGAATGAAAAACTAGAGAGGCTTGGAATTGCATTGATAAAATATTGCCTTACTCGATATCAAAAGCTAATGTAATTGGTGATTGGACTGGACCATCTCAACTGGCTGAGGGGTGGACAGAGCCATACTGGATATGGATTATTATGGGTATACTGGGTAGAGGCTCAGGGGTCTGGGGGCCGCCAACCCAGAGCCAAAGGACAAAGGAAAGTCAAAGAGATCAGTCACAAATATGGGTGACCTGATCCTGATCATTTTGCTTTGAGTACCTTAATGTTGAGTCCAATCAAATACATAAAATCAAATGGCGCTGAGCAATGTTTGCCTCAAATGCTTAGTTTTTAGCCACCGAAAAAAGGCCCACCTAAAAAAATCAACATCATGTATATCATGTGTATATTTTATTTAAAATATTTTCACTGCTTTACCTTACAGTCAGAGTTGCTGGTCTACCACTGCCTCCATCAGTTAGTGTGTAAGGTAAAGTGGAAGAAGCCAGCAAAGCAACATAGTATGAGCACAGCAGACACGTCAGATTGGACCGCCGTGTTTGACTGTATTTCAATCAGGAGAGACTCATTCCAAGAGAAAATAATATTTATTTACATGTGCCCATAAGTGTTAGAAACGTGAAAAGTCTTTGGCGATTAGACACCATTGTGATGTCATATATTCCAGGAGGGTGGTAAAGACATAGTAGATTAGGGATCCCCCCTATGGAGTCTAGACTCTGGCTGTGGTCATGGTGGTGAAGGGGGAGCTGAGGCTCTGGATGGGAAGAGGAGTGGGCTTTTGATGAGCTGGTCCTGGGCTATAGATAAGGTGACTGGAGGTGCATGGGATGGAGGAGGGTGCAAAGATTCCACCTAAAATGACAGCTGACAGGAGCAGAGAGGAGAATGGATTTTAAGTTTGGTAGCAACATGACAAAGAGATAGTGGCAAAGTTTGGTGAACTCAGAGAGGGAACACCCATAGCTAAATGGTGGAAGTGGTGAGAGAATTGTGAATGGATACAGCATGATGAAAGTCTTCCCGATTGAACTTAGGCTGAGTTTCATATCTATAAACATCAAAATGATGGCTGAATAAGACAAAGGACATAAACGAGTTACACATATCTCAGTAATTCAAAATAAAGCCCTAGTTCAGTACACTATTGCGTTAATGAAAAGTTGTGGATGGTACCTATGGAACCGTTCCGTACCGTCCCCATGTTTGGTCCCCCCTCTGTTGGGGTACCTAGCACACAGATCTGGTACTAAAAGGTGGAGCTGTGAACACTGCAGTCTGTTGATTGGTCAGTAGAGGACGGTCACTCTGCTCAGGGCTGAGTTGTGGCTGGTTTTGAGGCTCATGTAACCACTGTTCATACTGTGGAGAGTTTTATTAGTAAACTGTAACTATAAAATTAAAGGGTGTTTTGCTGCCTCCCACAGCAGCTGGAGTCTGAGAAAAAATAACTTAATTTACTGGGCCGACTGCTGGCAACTTTTAAGGTGGAACGTTAACTTGTAATGTTAGAAAAGGTTACTTTTGGTTCCAAAGGTACCATACCGAAAGTGTTTGGTGGAAACAGGGCTTAGTAGAGCTTTATCACAGTGGACAGTTTGGCTCGTCATAGCAGGAAAAGCACAGGTGTAACTGATGACATTAAAAACAATTATCATTCCATTTACTTCCAGGTTGCTGGTATTGTCCATACTGGCTCACTGTCATGGCTCACTAGGACACTTGATTGAACTGAACCATCATTAATGAAATTAGTTTCACCTGTGTTTTTCCTTAAAATGTCTGCCTTGGAAAAGGTCCATTGCCAGTTGTCTTCCTGGAAGTGTTGGCGCAACATCATGGTGATTCTGTCAATACCTTTGCACAGAACACTGAATTTCAGGTGCAGTTTTTAACCATCAACAGTAGTTTAAACTTTTGGTTAACCTGCAAAATGTTACTGAAAAGACCCAGGGACCGAGGGTTTGTGTGTGGGTGGATGAAGGTTGAAGGGGGGCGGTGAGGGGGGAGCAGTTCACTGAGCGAGCCAGCAGAAATGTTCTCCACATCTGTGAGTGCAGCCCCGGCTCAAGATGAGACAGAATATGGAAGTGGAGTGACAGATTGGAGAAGGAGAAAGAGCCGTGCCTCATGTGAAGCCCCGCTTCCTGACACATGTACTTACAGCAAAAGGTGTTTTGAAGCAGCACTTGTAGCTCCCCGGCTTTTGTAACCAGCGAGGCTGAGAACAGAGCTTGACTTGGAGCATCAAGAAATAGCTGAAAGAGGATTGAACATGAAAGAGCGGAGCTACTGTATGTCAAAGCATGTCTCAGGCAGGGATGCCAATAACAGTGCATGCACACTGTGAGAAGCTGCAACACAGCAAGACGACAGACAACTCTGCACTCATAGTCTATGTAGACAGACAGACTATTACACCTTTAACAAGGTAGAAAGCATCTGACTTATTCAGCTCAGACCTATTTAGTTGCTAATGTGTGTTAATTTGCAGGCTTTTGTTGTAAAATTGAAGGTAATTCCACATTAAAATGTGTAGGAGCCAGACAGGCCAGATGCCTCGTGTTGTTTACACCTTCATCCTGATAATGGCCAAGGACTCAAAATGTGTCCCTTGGCCTTTTCACATGCCTGGCCTGCCTTCCTTTTTCTGCAGAGATGATTCTGGTAATGAAAGCCTCCTACACAGTGGCCTTCTGCACATAAGCAAATACGCCTCCTCCCCGTCCGTGGCCTGTGGTGAACGCGGGGCCAGCAAAGTTTGATAAGGGAAGCCAGATGAAAGGGGAATATCGATGAGAGCTCATTGATTAGCTCACCAATAGCAAATGGTTGCACATTTCCCTGAAGCCACAGGGACAGATAGAAAAACACGCTAAATATGGAGCAAAGGAAGCTACTTTATCAGCTTCAGTTTCGGTAAGGTAAACCCAAACTCTCTCAGGTTAACAGCTGTCACTTTGTTATTCAACCTGGTTTAATGTTGGGCAGCAGCTTCTGTCCACAGTCACCATGATTATTTTAACATTGAAAGCTTTTTTGGCATTGAGCTACACACATGTATATCTGAAGGGGAATTTTAACACAGATATGGACTGAAATGTTAAGGTTGAATATAAATAATTGAAGGAGATTTATTTTGAGCCTTTTTTCTTAAATACTTGGCGGAAGATTTTGAGCTCTTTGTATTAATTCACATTGATCTTTCATCATTTTTCATGTATTACTTACAATGGTGTTTTAATGGGGTCTGCTGGGATAAGTCTGGCATTATTCTATAATTTTCTAATTGTCAGCAAACCCCAAAACACAATGCATTAGTCTGTCTCTCTTCTTTTAAACTGTCTGTTGCTACCAGCCTGATTTATTTCTACTAAAGATGTAGATCTTAAAAAACAAGTAATAAATATACAGTTTGATTTAAAAAAGGCTCAGTTGTATCCTAAGACACCTGGGCACTGTAGTTTTCAGCTAACATCACTCAAACAGGAGTAAATAGTGCGTTTGTTGGGGACTACTTTCAGCTGCGGATTAATACACACTTGGTGTTGTTATAAATATTTACAGCAGCCGCGACTGTGTATGTGGGACTGATTAAATTAATTACACTAATACACTTTCTAAAAGCTGTAGGTGAGGATAATAACAAAAAGACTTGAGTCTTGTTGACACCAAGCAGTCAGTTTGGTTCAGTTTGTGAGACATTCGAAAGGTTATTTTTGTGTTTCAGTTGTTAAATTGTGGGTGGTACCATTAAGCCCCGTTTCCATCCAAACACTCAGTATGGTACCTTTGGAACCACATGGTACCTAGACCCTAACGTTTCCACTGCAAACAGGACTCTTAAATGTGGACGGGGTTGTTGTCACTCACTGCTCCGTCCAGCACTCACTGTATTTCCTCCTTTATCAGTCTGCAACTTGTTTATCGTCCACAGAACGTGACTGCATGCCAACATTTTCAGAACAAAATAAAACAGGCTGCAGTGAGAGTTTCTCTCCATGGGATATTTAAAAATAGCAGGTCTGTGCAATTAGTCCTTCTCAGGCAAGCTCAGGGATTTAGTGTTGCTGTAACCCACAGGAACGGCGCTCCACAACGCCTTTTTTTTCTCTAAGCAAGGATTGGAATATATGCAGTGCACATAATCCAGTTGAAATTAACATATATTTTTAAATGCTCAAAGATCCACTCATTACTAAAAGTGTCTGTCATCCAAGAGAAACAAAAAAGTAAAGTAATGGTCAAAGTTGTCACATTGAATTTAAGGTGTCACGTCGTCAAATGAGTAACACCTTAAAAGTCGCCGCAGTTGGCCCAGTGGATTAAGTTATGTTTTCTCCGACTTCAGCTGCTGCAAGAGGCAGCAAAACATCCTTTCATTTTATAGTTACACTTTACCAACGTATGTGAAACTCTCAATGGCATGAATGGTGGTTGCGTAAGCCTAAAAACCAGCCACAACTCTGCCTTGAGCAAGAGTGACCTTCCGCTATTGGCCAATCAACTGACTGGCACACTGATCCTATAGTAAAAGCTGGAGCTACAAACACTGCAGTCTGTTGATTAGTCAAGAGAGAATTGTCACTCTTGCTCAGCAAAAATGAATGCACAAAACCGCCATTTTTAAATGCCCCATCGATTGCAACAGAGACTTTGACCTCTCCAGCCTGTTCTTTTTTGCTCTGAAAATGTTGGCATGCAACACTGCTACATGCGTGATCAACGAGGAGTGCATCGTCAGTGAAGAGGAAATACAGCGAGAGCTAGATGGAGCGACCCACCTACATGTAAGAGTACTATCTGCAGTTGAAATGCCAAACAAATGGAAGGTTTAGGTACATGTCTGTACGGGTTATGTAAAGGTTTGAAGGGTACTACACCAAAAGTGTTAGCTCGAAATGTTAGTGGCAGCTTTGGCTACAGATGTGTAACCGCAGCAACATCAACAGTAACAGATAAATAGATGTTCGAGTTGGGTGGTTCTCAGTCTGTTTGTGATCCATTACAATCATGGAAGGCACAAGTTGTCTGGATTTATCCCTTGGATAAACTACAGTGCCCATGTTTATAGTACTGAAGGAACATGTCACCCAGTGTGACTTATTAATGTGTTTTTGGGGCTTTTGGTACAATTTGTTCATCAGATCAATTCAGTGTTGGTTTGGGTCTTTTCCTGGAAATTGCAGCTTTTAATTGCAGACATGTTTTGTTTTTAGTTTTCTCTCAGTTTTGACATTTAAAAACCAAAAACACAAATGAGAAAGAAACTTCATTGCTCCCATGTTAAGGTTTCTCCCTCATATGTCAGTTAGGTGAGACTCACACAAAACAAACCACAAGTGAGAAGTTTGACACATATTTACATGAAGTGCAGGTGTACATAACGGACTGCTCTAATACTGATTCTGTCCTGTCTGACTGTTTACTGTTTAAAGCTTTACATTTTACTGGATATAACCTGAGCAAAAAAAGTGCAGCTGATAAATTCTCAGGGCTTCCAGTCATACTGCAACTATCAGGAGCCTCTTCTGAGAAGTCACTGCCTATTTCTGACTGCATCTGACTGTCAGTCTCAGCCTCCACACTTATCTGCTGCTTTCTGCAAGCTTGCCGTCTGTGGATGTAACTGCCTTTAGAGACAGACGAGAACAGAGAGATGGAGAGGAGAGAGAGTGAGAGAGAGAGAGAGAGAGAGAGAGAGAGAGAGAGAGAGAGAGAGAGAGAGAGAGAGAGAGGCTCAGCTGCCACCGCAAACTGAAACCCTGTGGCTCCAGGATCGAGAGGAGTTCCGCAGAGTTGGGGTTTCACACGTTGTTGTGTGATCTAAGATAAGACACGCTCAGCTGTATCCTCCCTCCGCTTAAAAATATACACACGTACACACACACACAGTATAACGGAAAATATTCCAGGATGTCACCCTGCACGACAGCGAGTATCGTATGCCCTCCTGTAATAATGAAAGTTCATGGCATAGATGTGTGCTTATCTGCATTTGTGTGTGTGGGGGGTGCATGGGTTATGTGCATTAACTCTTGCATCAACTCTAAGTTGACTCTGGTGAGAGAAACAGAAAAAATAGATGCATTTACTGTAAAAAGATGTTTTACCTGAACATCTCAAAATCACCACCACAGACTGCGGGGAAATATTAAAAGTAAATCCCCTGTTTCATGTAATGTCACCCATTAATGAAACTCTTGAAATAATAGTTTGACATTTTGGGGAATAATTTAACATGCTTTCTTGCTGAGAGTTACATGAGAGGATCGATATCACTCTATACATGTTTGTATAATGCTCCAGCCCTGAGACAGTCATACTTGCCAACCTTGAGACCTCAAAAATAGGGAGGATTTTGACGGAGCAGTGAGTGACAACAACCCCGTCCACATTTAAGAGTACTGTTTGCAGTGGAAACTCTAGGGTCTAGGTACCATGTCTGAAGGATTACTTTTGGTTCCAAAGGTGCCATACCGAAAGTGTTTGGTGGACACGGGGCTTAGGCTTGTCCCGCAGCTGGCTGTCCTCCCTGCACACACACCACTGGGTCCTGGATGCCTAAGCAAGGCGGAACAAGAGGCTCACAGTGTCTGGAAGACAGCTGAATACACCACTGTGACGGAGGAGTGCAAGCACCCCCCCCCCAACCCCTGAGGCACCCCTCAGACCCAGAACGGTCCTGTCATGCACACATAACGCAGTCACTGGTGAGCACAGAGACAAGGTGTCCGCCTGACTCATGTGGGCCTGGTGGGCACTCCTCTCTGGCCTTGGAGTGTCAGAGCAGGAGGGGGAAGTGCCAACTGCTAAGAAACAGTGCAGTTTTAGAGTAGACTAATACATGCTGAACAGTGCCAGAAACACATTGTGATAAGAAAAGGTGGAAACAAAACGGTGTGGATTTTTGTCATGAATTGGGATAAATATGGGAGAATTGTGACCCTGGGAGGGAAACAGGAGACGGCAATGAAAACGTGAGTCTCCCAGGTGAATCGAGAAGGTTGGCAAGTATAGCGACAGTTAGCTTAGCTTAGCACAAAGACTGGAAACAGAGGGAAACAGCTAGCCTGACTGTCCAAAAGGTAGCAAAGTCTCCCAGTAGCTCCTGTAGTATCTCATTTGTTTGAGTCATACAAAAACAGAAGAATTAATTTAACCAGCTGCTTGCAGTATCCTCATATTTCCAAAAATGTGAGACTATTCCTTTAAGAAATTTATTTTGCCTTATACATACATTTTAAGGTTAAAAATTGCTGTAATTTTCACTTCTAGTTCTTCAAACCTCTTC